TTAAGCACAGAGTTAAACTCCCACCATATTAATGTTACGTAAGCGAGCACGTGTTCTGCGCATAATGCTACAAAGCTAGACAACCGCTTACCCCATTTTAGGTACAAACATCAATGTTGATAATCAACAACCAGGTTACGGTCTGTTAAAATTACCAGTTTTCAATAACTTTAATTTCACGAGTGACAACAACAAATGAAAGCACGTTTCAAGAATAGTGGAGAAAGTCGTGGGGTACGATTTGTCTTAAGAACTCCTTTTCTCGCCGCTCTGTTGGGATTGTGTTGAAGGAGTGCTCACACACCTTCTACGGAAAAAAGTCGAGTTGTTGTTGTCGACGTGAGGTGAAAAAGTGTGGAGAGGTGGCCACCCCAAGGATTTGATAATTACTCCGCGTATGTCCTCCTCCCGATGCCCAGAAGGTCGCGGAAGTTTAAATGATTTTCATTTTTCTCATGTTAATGCCAATTTATAGATCCAGAGCACAAATTTATCGTCACCAATTTCGTCTAGGGATTGGGGATGCCAACACTATTTCACATTACTTTATGACGTGTTCTCAAATCCAATTACGCTCTTATGAAGTTTAAGCTGTCCTCGCGTCCTCCGTGCACCCAGGGCTCCTCCTCGGCTGACGTGCAGCATTAGGTTGTGGCCACAGGATGAAGGCACAGGAAAGCAAAACTTTGGCACTACATCATCATCAAGATCAACTCACTCCTCGGAGTTCATATAAAGTGTGCAGTCGACAAATACAGCCAGCAACCCTGCTGCTTGGCATCCTCGCTCGTTTACCAGGGAAGCAAGCGGAGCGAAAGGCAAAGAAAAAATACTAAGATGAGATCGGCTGGAAGAATTAATCAATTTTGCGTCAATATGACGTTCACTTGCAATGGGTCAGAGTTCGCAGTCAAGGTTTCGCACGAAATATGCTCTGCAATCTTATTCTTGCGTGACATAAATGCACAGGCTCGTTGGTTCAGCATTCCTAATTGTTTTGTTATGTACGTTGTTTTAGTAGGTAAAACTACTCAGAAATTAATTTACTGCAACTATGTATTTGGATTACATGCATGTACCATATTCTGCTAATTTTAGCTCAGCCAGATAATTTCCAAACTCATGGGGACGATACGGGTCTCCGTTGTAGAGGAATGAAATGCTACGACGCCTGGTGCGTAGCCTGGTGGCACAAAAAGTGACTTCTTTCTCGGAGAACTTTCCCTACTTTCTCCCAACTGAAATTCTCTCGATTTGGCCACGACAGGGGTCGCAGAGGTCTGTTTCATGTGTCAGCAACCAACAATATCGAGTTGTTGAGACTTCTTACTGGTACCCATTTCAGAAACATGGCGAGGTTATACTGCACATCATAGCACACATTTTCTTTTATTAGCTCGCCCTGCGTAGCACGAGAGCTATTGAATTCCTATTGTCCGTCTGTCCGTCTGTCTGTCCGTCTGTCCGTCTGTGTGTTCACGAGCACGGTGCGCTACATATGTGTTGAAGAAACTCCTTCCAAACCAGTGGAAGTCTGGGATTGGCTGGTGGTGTTTTTGGCTGCACACTTAAAAATGTAATGCTAAAAGCTATGATGTCGGACAGATTGAAATAATCGGGATCAGTTTGTGTCATCATACGTAGACCCCAGGGGGAGGATCCTACCAACTCTTGGGGTCAATCGGACCACCCCCACTGGGGACAGAGGGTGTGGTCGGGGCAAAATGAGATTTTTAATGCAATCGAATCTATAGATGAAATAAAGTGAAATGAGGTATTCCCTCGATGTGGCACACCCTGTGGGTGTGGTCAGGGGCAATATGAGATTTTATTCACCCCACCCATCAAATTGTGTTGCCTCACTTCACCATGCTTCATATATGGATTTAATTTCAATAAAATCTCATGTTGCCCCTGACCACACCCACAGGGTGTGCCACATCGAGGGAATACCTCATTTCACTTTATTTCATCTATAGATTCGATTGCATTAAAAATCTCATTTTGCCCCGACCACACCCTCTGTCCCCAGTGGGGGTGGTCCGATTGACCCCAAGAGTTGGTAGGATCCTCCCCCTGGGGTCTACGTATGATGACACAAACTGATCCCGATTATTTCAATCTGTCCGACATCATAGCTTTTAGCATTACATTTTTAAGTGTGCAGCCAAAAACACCACCAGCCAATCCCAGACTTCCACTGGTTTGGAAGGAGTTTCTTCCACACACATGTAGCGCACCGTGTTCACGAGTTTTTTGCATCAATTGATGCTAATTAAATATCTCCTTGACCATTATTGGATAAGTTCGGCACACCATTGGTATCGAATAATCCGTGGCGTAAATGGTGCGAATTAATTGTGCAAGTAGATCGAGATAGGACTATAATTATGGAATAAGTAGCACCATTAGTACCGAGCAATTGGTTATTAAAAATGATGCGTAACAATTGGGCCCTTTATTTACCCCCAAAAATCAATGAGGCCTAACAATTGGACCATCTATTTCCCCCAAAAAATCTGTTCTATTTGTTCGATTTTTCTGCACCATTGACGCTAAAATATATAAATTTTATAATAAATAATTGGGAAAGGGATGCCATACGCACCAATGATGCAGAATGTCGGGATAAGGAACCATACAATTTTTTCAAAGTTTTCAAAATTATGTATCCCGTTGGTCGCTAATGTTCCACTAGTGGTGCAAACTATTTTCGTTTTTTTTAAATTTTTCCGTTTATATTACACCATTGGTGCAATAATCTATGAGAGTTATAATCTATTTTGTCGCCTTATTCCGTACCTTTGGTGGAAAGTTATATGGAAATCATTATGACAGGGTGAGCTACTTCTAGTGTTTCTCACGGGTCGGGTTCTTGCAAATCCGAAACCCGAACCCGAACCCGATACCACTGATCCGAAACCCGAGGGCAACCCGAACCCGAAGAACCCGAAACCCGTTTGCAAGGACCCGAACCCGAACCCGAACTAGCAGATCAAATCCGAAACCCGAACCCGAAAACCCGAATATATTTTAATTTTAATGGGTGGGCTGAATTTTTAGCTAAAAATTCTTGGGAAGCTTTCAAAGCAACAATACTATCTGTAAATATAGCCAAGGAATTATAATTAAGCACATTTCTGCATAAATATAATGCATTTTAAAATGTGCTGAATTTTAATTCCTCGACCACAATAATGCAATCTCAAAAAATCGACCTTTAATAATGGCTTTCCGTGACATTCAGAAATTTGTAAATTAGTTGAAAACTGAAAATGATTTTCAGTTTCAACCAATATTAAAGTATGCTCAAACTAACTAGTTAGCAAATTTTTGATAAAAAATATATTTTATTTTAATATTCAAATCATAACACTAATTGAAGACACTTGTGAAAAGAAGTTACGACAATTAAAAATTTGAATTGTTTACTGAATCACGGCAGCATAACCGTCTTGGCAAGTGTGGTTAACACTTTAATTTTCTTTTTTAACTTTTTCGCGTTCGTTGTGGCAAAAAATTCTTGTTGATTCGGGTTTCGGGTTGTTAGTCGGAACCCGAACCCGACCCGAACCCGAAATTTTGGGATCAGATTTTTCGGACCCGAACCCGAACCCGAACGTTTCGGGTTCTGAAATTTCGAATCCGAACCCGAATCCGAACCCGAATCCGAACCCGAAACCCGAAGTAAGAACCCGAACCCGTGAGAAACACTATACTTCTAACGTTACTACGGTTTATTTATCTATAATCTGAGTTTATTCTTCAAGAATTGAATGCATAAACAATGACGCGAGTCTACAAATAATTACAGAGCACTTTTATCTCCTTCGCAGGCTTCACTCCTCCTCTTCAATCGATGGGATCAGATAGCGTGCAACATCCTGATTAAGCTTTTACGCTGTCACGACTAGTATTTTGGTCTTGTTGCCAGTTGTCTCTTGTTGGAGGAGGGATGTTTTTATTTTCATTCACAAGTTTAGCATCATCTCATCATGTTTGCTTTAGAGAATCTTTGCGGAGGAAAAACAAAGTGAAATTAAACGGATTCCTTTCCTTCATGGCTGTACTTACTTTCCACAAACTGCTTTCTCCTGCTGGAATAAAACTGATTCTTCGCGTTGGCTCAGACCTGTCTCAAGTATTTTAAGCTGCGGTTATCTGAAATTCTAAAATTACTGAATTGGAGAAATCCCGAAGAATCAAGTGCTCTGCAAACAGTTTTAATCGAAGGGATGGTTTGAATGGATGACAGGGTTTTTTGTTGACAACTCCGACTTCGCCGTCCATACATGTTGTCACTTTTGCAGAAAGCGAGCCCTCAGACGCCCCACAGTTTCGTCACCATCCGTCCCCAACCTGCCTGGATGTTCTCGCGGAGGAAAGTCGACTTCTTTGAAAACTTTGTCAGTAAATTTGAGTCGGCATTGAGGTGAGTGCGAGTGAAAGAAAAGTTTCATTAACGGGAAAAGAGTCAGCTGGATCTGGATTCCGTCTTCAAAACTGTCGCTTCATATGGAATGAAAGACTTCCGTGAGGAGCTGTTGTAATCGACTCGTCTTCCCTCCTTCGTCCTGGAGATCTGCCTCGTCAGCCAAGTAATGAATTCAATTCCACTAAATATCTCAAGTCGTGGGAACAGATAACTGTCAAACGACGCTGCCGAATTCTTAAGATTATTCTGAAATAGTGAAATGCATTGTTTGGATGCGATGATTTTATTTCTTTTATTGAAGCCTTGTTCATGCTCGTCTCGACTTCTGCTCCAATTATTCCGCTCCTTCAAAAGTATCAACTTTTATTCGTTTATTAAACATGATCGATGCCCCCTTTTTATGATGCCCAATAAATTACCGACAGACAGCGAATTAACAATAGATTTAATTTTATTGATACAATATGCTCAAACTTTATAACTGCAAATTTTAACCGTATTTAGGTACATGATTGCATTTAACTATACCCCAAGCAAGTATATTATACATACGTTATATTATTCTATATTATGGTCTAAGCATTTAGTTGATAGACTAGAAATGTATGTATGTACAATAATATGTGGTAAGTATATCCGTCTGCAAATGTAATTATTTGTGTAAAGTGAGTAAGCTTATGATACGAGCTGCATTATTTATTTAGTAGTCGATTATTACTTGAGGTCACCATCAAAACAGTAAAATATGTATGTGTGTAGCTGATGGAGGTGCATTGCGGGTGTGCAATTGGCGAGATGGAAAAAGTGCTAAAAGCCACACCCCTGAATTTACTAGGGGAGAAATGGGTTAAGTAGCAACTAAGTATGAGAGAGTGTGAGATGTAAAACTTGTATAACTGCTTCTCAGGGACACCTCCTCGACTCATTTCTGTCCAAGAGAAAGTTTTCAAGTTGTCGCGAAATGAATAGAAATGGTCCCATGGCGTCCCATTTAAATGCTCACTTGACATGGAATACCATTTCAATGTGCACTTTTCCCTCGACCACGCCAAACGAAATGGACAAAGAGCATCGAGATCATTCGTCCTGATGATGGAAATTCCAACTCCGCCTCCTCTCGCAATCAGTGAGTCAAAAAAGTTTGGGTTTTTGTAAAATAAATGGGCAAAATAATACTATATCCGGTCACTTATTCATCAATTCGTGTAATGCATGGTTGCAATATATGTTCCTGTATCTCTCGTTTCACTGACAGCATTCACCATTAGTCGTGCAGAAGATTGAGAACTTCTTGACCAAAATCTAATAAGTGCGCTATTCAATTTACTAATGAGTACAATAACTAAATTTCTCTTGCTGTAAACATAAATTTTGGACATGCGACACCGAGAACAGGAAAAACAGAACAAAGAATTCCAGATTTCTTCGTGACGTAACAAACAACAAATTTTCACGGGGATGAGAATGACACCATTAAATCTCTGTTTTATTTAGGCTAATTTATATATGTACTTATCACTTAATAAGCTTATCGACAAAGTGTAGTAGGAATTATACATTTTTACAATAGAGGTGAGCACATTTCAGAATATTTGCCTCCAATTTACACAAACTTGTTATCCAATTACCTTACTTTTGCTAGTAAATACCATATATTCGAGTAGCTTAAGGATTGTATCACGTTTAAAAAAATTCACCCCTAATTATTCCTTGAGGAAACCCTTGACGAGAGACTCAGTTCGTTAAAACAATTCCAAACAGCAGCTTAAAGAGATTTGATAAATATTTTTGTGCACCCGAATTTCGCCTTCGCTGGGTATGCAGATCGCGAGGAGGATGTTGAAAATAATAAGCGAGTCGTTGTGAGAAGAAGCACTTGAGTAAAATAAAAACAGAAAAGTGGCTCCCGGAAAAGTTTTGGAGTCACAAGTCGTGAAGGTTGGATAGGAAAGAGAGTTGACAAACGCTCTCGGAGTGCATTATCCATAATAGATATTAATATACATATCATACCCCATTATTATTCGCATTACTTTCCTCCGCTCCGGCCTCTCCCCGAGTATTAAATGTTCTTCCAGTTAGGGTTAGTAGTCGCTGGGGAATAAAACTCTCTTGCCTCGCATACCCGCCCACCTTACACAAAATTGCGTCCTGCTCATCTTTCTCCATACCTGGTTACGTCCTATCATACCTTAAAAAAGATAACCTACGGCGCACAATTTCACCTGCTTGCTGCCATTCGTACTTGGATACCTAGATAGACAGACACACATTTGTTTACACTTGCCTTATAAATCTACCAAATGAAAACTACGTCTCTATTACAAGAATGCTTTGGAAATGGTGTAACGCCAATTTACAAAGATTTGCATTATTCAAGTGTGATTGCATAAAAACGTGTTAAAACTAAGACTGGTAGCATGGTGGGTAGATATATATTCTTCAATGTTTCATGAGATCCAAACTTTTTACACGTATTTCGAACTTGTTTTCAACTTTTGCATAAATATTTAACCCTTATCCTTAATATTTATGGTGTACTCTTAATTGATTTTACGAAACTAAGCGTGATTGTTATTTTTATCCTGTTGCTGGTGATTTTTGGAGTTTAATTCTATTTTTCGTAGGGAAAGTTTTGTTCGTGGGATGAGGAAATTCAGAGGAAAAGTAACTTGCCCTTGGATCGACAAGATTACAGACACAAAGCTCAATTGGAACATCAATTATGACAAAACTGGAGTTTATTAAGCTGTATTCGTGTCGGTGGTGGTGGCATTTCGCAATGTTTCAGTCTACCCCTTTCAATGTGATGCTGCTTTCACTGCTCGCTTTCCACTCGTTTTGCTGCTCCAGTTTATAATTTCACTAAGTTTTGACATAGTCCTCGCTGAGATGGTGGTTCACTCTTATTGAGGATCCTTTGTGAAGCGGGACGATCATGGCGTCGTGTTTGACAACGTGGTAAGAAGCAGCACCAATTGAACAGCCCCAACGATGGCTATGGACCAAACCAGCCGTCCTGTTAAAATTTACGGCACACCCAAACTCCAGTTACTCCAACCATTGATCGCTTCCTCGAGAGGAGAGAGACTTAAGAAAGCCGCAGCAAAGGCAGGAATAAAAAAGTAAGCCACCCAATGCCAACAAAGTAGTGGAGAAAGCAAAGCAAGCAAACAGCCCAGCCTGAAATTTCTTTAGTTGAGAAAGTTAAATGGTAAAACGATACAAGACGAAGAGAGTGGTTGCTTGGTTGGGAGAAAAATCCAACCAAACACTCAGTCGCTCGTGTCGAATGAGTCAAGTTTAACTTAACCACCACCACTTTTTAAGGAGACAGATATACATAGCCGTATGAATATAGGGAGTTGGCAATCCCTCCCTCAACTCATTGGGCTCAAGCAAGTGCAATGACTGCAAATAAAGAAATGTTGTTTGGCCCTAAAATAAAGTGAATCATGAAAATGGAAAGTCTAATAACGAGATTTGGGTACAAGCAAGATGCTGCCGAATTAGAAAGTTTATGAATGTCTGCACCAAGAAAATTTTAGGAAAGGTTAACACGCTTTTATTAATTCACGAAATGGATCCAGCTTGAACTCATCATTACAATTAAGGAATTTATGATTGTGGTGGTTCAAAAGACGGGAAATGATTGGTAGTCGTGTTCCTTTGTTGGTTGTTGGTAGTTAACACTTGGTAATTGTGGCCGTGTGTGTGAAAGTAAAGCCATAAAATAACTATGAAACTGAATGAATCATGATTTCAGAGCACAATAACAAACAACCACCCACACACACGCGCGTCTGCACACCAAGCGCCTACTTATTTCAAGTTCAGGATGCTGCTGCTTGGCAATAAAGAATCGCACAGCAATTAATCTCGACTTGGATTAGGAGGATTCTGAAACCTGAATGTCTTCGCATGTGTGTGGAGATACGTAACGCGACGCGAGAACGGAGAGAGAAAAGGCTGCTTTATTATTTATGAAAACCTAAATATAGTTTATCCTCGAGACACATAATCTTGAGCGGTGATGAGCAAAAGCGACTGCAGGATCGGTTACTCAAATCAAACAGCAAGCACGTAAAAATTGTAGAAAGTGGCCAAGATTAAAAATAATTAATGTTATGCATGCAAATAAAAGAGGTGAAAGTAAAATGCATGGTAAAAAGTGGAGTAAAATTACCGAAAATGACGGGAGACTTGCCGCCTCCGCAGCCCATGGACCAGCCAGCACCATTTTTGCCGTAGACCCCTCCGTAACTGGAGGGCAGCATGACTGTCTCCCGAAACCGTTCAGCCTCGTACTGGTCAGAAGTCTCGTTGTACAAATTAAACAATGTGGCCTCGCACCTCACGCGAATTTTATGTGCCACAAAGTGGGCATAGCTGATTTGAAGGCGGAGGCTGGCCCAGCGAATCTCCGTCTTGTTCACCGGGTCGACCGTGACTTCCTGCTTTCTGGAAAAGGTTTATGAAGATTAGTCTTTAGTTCAAACCACAAATAAAAGTATGTTAAACTCGGCAGAGGCTTATTATGTATTTATTTATTTCTTTTGCTTCTACTGCTACATGCATATAAGTTTGACTCCATCATTATCATTACTTTCATAATTCCACTAAATAACAAAGCTCCTTGGATTTATTAAAACCTTTTATGAAAACCAAATATGATGATAGAAATTATACAGATTAAAAATATTCATGAATTTAAAATTCGGCAGTTGTTTTTTTTAATTGCCGGAGTTTCAAAGACAGTCTTCTGCAATTTCTTCAGATTGGGGAATTCAGCAGATATTTCATGACCAACGACAATGTCGAAAAGTTTCCAATAAATTGGATGTCGATCCAGGTCAGGTTCTGACCCGACGAGGAAATCATCAGCATTTACTTTTTTAATGTTATCCGCTTTTTAGTAATACTTTGGAATTGTAGTTTCCATCAAATTATTTAGTTTGAGAGAATGATGACACAAATAAAATAAACACAGTAATTTGAGTTGTTGCGCTCGGGGTAAATATGAGACGGCTCACATTCCATGCATTCCGATCTTGTTCAATCTTGTTGGTTCATGAAACGACACCAAACAATCATTCAAGAAAGTGAATTATGCATGCAGCAAAATAAATTATTCTCCCCCAAAATAAATTCAATAAATTGATTCCAAGAACAATTAAAAGTGTCGAAAAAGTAAAGTTAAGGTAAGAATCACTTCTTCTTTTATATTTTGAAAGACAAGGCCTGAAATTGTTTCATTTTGAATGATATTGTCATATTTGCAGCAATGAAGCCTCAGCAGATAGGAGTGCGACCAACTCGTCGAGCAAAGAGGAAGGCGGCCAGGAAGATTGCGATGATGACAAGGTCAAGTAGTGGCGAAGAAGACAGCGACTCGGATGATGACACCACCAGCCAACATTCGGCCGCCAGCACTGAAGGCGGGCGAACTACCAAAGGGGAGGTCCGGCGGAAGGGAGGTGGTGATCAAGATGGGGAGGGGGGAATGTCTTCCGAGTCAGGTAGTAACGGGGGCGAGGAAGAAACCAACGATTCAGATGAAGAAAGTGATCAAGGCGAGGTCAACATGGATGACGACAAAGAAGACGAATCGTTGGTGGGACGGCAAGGCCGAAAAAGGACTCGGACCAACACCATCGGTCCAGCTGGAAAAGTGAAAAGGCGATCTCGGCGGACATCGTCCCAAAACAGTTTTTCTTCGTCGTCTGTGACGTCAAAAGTGGCATTGCCAAAACCGCCGCGAAAGCGAATTACACATCGAGCACGCTTCTCAGATGTCGATAGGGAGACATTGGAAAAAGAGTTTACCATTGACCGAAATCCTGATATGACGAAAAGAAATGAAATAGCAACAAGACTTAACGAGGCATCGCCTGACGATGACGAAAAGACACCCACCCACATTAAAGTAAGCAAATAAAATTTTCTTATTTACATGAAGTTATAAGGAATAATTTGTCTACGTGTTATTTTAGAACTGGTTTAAGCACAGAAGACAAAAGAAACCTGGTGATGTAAAAACCTTTACACGTGACCAGGTGGCAATCTTGGAAAAATCCTATAAGATCAATCATTTTCCTGATCAAAACGAAAAAATTAGCCTTTCATCGGCTTTACAAATTCCCTGGGATATGCGACTCAAAGTAATTAGTTTAATTTTATACGTTTGTTGTAGGACATTGTCCTTGAATTTAGATTTATTTCGTTTTCACCTAATTTTCTCTAAGAACTGGTTTTCGGATCGGAGATTCCGAGGATCCACCCCACTTTTGCTGAACACTCCTTTGCAAGCAATGCCGACAAGGAACATAAATCCTCAAGTTTTTTCTATTTTGAAAACTGGTGATGGCACTAGGATGATGTGGCGCCCATTGTTGCCATCAGAGAATACCTGTACGTAATTCCATCACACAATATACTCGCATTCCATTCTAACTTTTTTAATTTCTAGCTAAACTCTGGAAATTGTATCTCACGTTTTGGGAGGATGAAACAGGGGTGCAGATGGGAACGTCAGTATGCATCACTTTAGACAATAATATGGACGATGCAGCAAAAGTCATTTACAACGCGATAATGAATGGGACCGAGAGAGGCTGCAGTTTCCGGTATTCAAATTATTTTCATACATATGTTCAAATTATTCCTGACAATGTCAATTTTGAAATGAACTCGTTTTGTTAGACTTTTCGTCCGTAAGAACAAACTCCGACCACGGCATGGCTCAATTGGACTCGGGATTTATGGAGACTCAGAGTTGGCTACCAAGAAGCCAAAATGGTATCTCCGATGGATGGTCAAGGCGATGGGAACATTAAAACCTCTTGAATGCATCGAGATGCTCCACGGCTGTGCAGAATATCTCAACGAGGTCGCCAGGCAATGCCTTGATCTCATGGATCCGAAAATGAAGAGGTGGATGGATTTTTCTAGCGATGCCATGGAACGTCACATCAATGACCTCAGCAACCCTTTTCCAGGAACAGATGAAGACTTGGATTATCGATTTAAAACAAAGGAGAAGTATGGATTCGACCCCGAAGCGGACGATACTCAAATCGTCCGTCAACCTGGACGCACTATTTTCATTCATGGATAGGAACCAGGTATGTCTTCTACAGCAATAATTTTATGCACAAATGTACTTTGGCATTGCCATAATATGCATATTAATTATGTGTTTACTTTAGGTGCGATACATACACCCAACACTCGTCATTTTAAATTAAAACCATCATCATATTTATTATTTAATTGATTTTCTACATTAAGATTCATGAATCATCTGAACCACAATAAAAAATAAATAAAATAACAGATCAAATAAAGGCCAACGCAAGTATTAAGTAAGCTCCGGTTTGTTTTTTCATTTCAGATAGCAATTTCATATTTTATTTCTTACCTCTCGAGAACTCCCAATTTTATGGAATTCTGGCAAAAAGGAGGAGAAAATTAAGGAGACAAGATTTTATGGTGGACAACAAAATTTCTGGGCCGGGTAAGAACCAAGGACACGGAAAAAGTCTTACGTAATTTTCCCCGTTTATGAAGAACGTAATATTGGGGGAAGGAATTGATGGGCCGGCGGTGCAGTTTGCGGTTAGAACGTCGTCCTTCTTCACCATCACGGTTTCCACGCCGGTTTTGGAATTGGGTTTGTTGAGGGGATAAAACTCCACGGTTAACGAGGGCCTTGTTTTGGGTTTAGCTGGAGAGAAAAAATTGGATGATACCAACCAGGGAAACAATCAGAGAAACATGGTCAGATCATGACAACAAGGGAATGAACCATGTTCCGCGATATTATGAATCTCATTTGCGATTAAACTGAGGAGAGATTAGATTAAGCAGCAGCAGCAACGAGGTCGTCGTCTCTGGGGGCAGGCTTTTCTCAAATCAGATCAAGAATCAAGATCAAAGAATTGGCTTCTTACCCTGCCACGAATTGCCTGCTCTTTTGGGACTCTTCGCTCTTCTTGGGTCGAGAGAGAGTTAAATAAATTACCCTGAGAACACAACCCAATTCAACAGTTTGTGGGAGACGAGACGTTCAAAAGTTTCGTTGCACAATGCTTCTTTGCACAAGTTAACTGCTGTTAGCAGTAAACAGCGAAAGAAATAAAAACCTAATCAAAATATTCTGCAAAATTGTAATTATTTAATGAAAAATCCAAGTTACGAAACATTTCCTAACAAAATTACGACTTTAAATTGAAGCTTTTAACTGGTTTTTATTTATTCCGTATTGGAATAAAACTCTATTAAAACAAATGTAATTTCGAATTCTTGATTCTTGAAAATGAAATGCGTTGGTATTTAAATTATTACATGACATAATAATGAAATGTAGTTGAATTATGAATTTTCACGGAATATGTGGAAATTGTTGTTTAAAGCTAAACAAGACATGACAGGGTGCAAAGGAGAATAAATGTGCACATCGCGTGACTTTCACCAACCGCCAGACTCGTCCACTTTCTCCGTGCATGTTCATAGCAGCCAACAACTCGTGTAACTTAATCTCTCCTCCTGCTTTCTCTTTATTCAATCAGATTACTGTCTTCGCTAAATATAAGACAACTGTTGGGCCGTATTATAATATCCGACTAAATTTAATTTTTAAGGTTTCCTGACCTTCTGGGGAGAAAAATAAGACGCAAATTTCGCGGAAGTCACTTACATACGACGAGCAGCTGACTGGTTTTGATGATTGTCTGGAATGACGGTTCAAAACTGACTTCACAAGATATGACCCCTCTCAGCGCCAGGGGTACCTGAAAAGCAGGAAATATTATCCATCAAATTATGGATAATTCTCATTTCCCAAGCCTTTTGAACTGGGGGTTTGTTTGGCAGATTAATTAAGTAAATGAGAACAAGCTAATCCCCCGAACAACCCCCCAGTTCAAAAACCTTGGACATTTCCCTCTTGCGGTTTCTTACTAAAAACTGGCAACATGCAACATTTGAAACCGCACACCATCAATTCGTATCAACACATGTGTGTAACAACAAACATGGAGAAAGTCGTTGCTCATTATGCGTTCAGGAGAAAGGCGAATGATAGCTTATTAAGGAAATGCATCCACAATACACGACCTCTTTTTGCCCCTTGTTAATGTATTATTGAGAGAAATATGTAATTTTACCTTTCTCAGGACAAGTTTGTTCATATCCGATTGCTTCTCCTATTGTGATTCAAGGCACATAAAACCAATTAGCCAAGGCATAGATTTATGGCATTTGTACGGCTGTCACTTATCCGACTCTCTCTCTCTCTCTCACAAAACTCATCCCACATCCAGCTTAGCTCTCCTCAGAAGAAATGGAATTTCCAACATTTAGAAACACAATCGCAAACTGCATTTGTAGTCTGGACTTTGGACGTCGTCTTGCTTCCAGCAGCAGCAGCTGCCTGCCTTCTTCCCACTCGGAATTATGGAGGAGCAGAAAGAAGAGTTGAGAAACTTGTACCCAAAATGCTTTCCGGTTTCAATAACACTTACGGAGAACAAGCGTCATAATAGTTTTTGCTTTCTCCCAGTCACATCGAAATCTAAGAGTGCTCCATATTTCCTACTACTTACAGGGATGCGAATCGTGTGTAAGTAGCTCGAGTTCCTTGCTCTATTCTATTCACCTAATTCTTGAAAATTGGAAAATCATATGTTGGCCAGAGTTATGCTTTTTTTCGATATTTTGAAATTTTTGATGGCAAATAATTACTGACGGCACACATATTCATGTCATACCCTGGACGGTACCAAGAAAAATAATTCAACAGAAAGACGAGTATTCTGGTTGTACATCACATTTCAGCATTCACGATATGGCCAAGAAGATTAATGGATGTGTCACTCAAGAGATAAATAAATGCTCAAGTTTACTAACAAATTGAGAATTTGTATGCATTCTGAGATTCCCACTTTCTTCCAGACTAATCAACGTACAAAGAAGACGGGCAGAATTACAGATAGTCTCGTCTGGAAACCTCGTGGAATTAAATGGCAACCAACGGACAATGTACGAATATATTTCAAGGTGACCTACACCATTATTGCTCGCACTTTTTGCTTATTACCTTCTTCAAAAGGATAATTACCGAATATTTTATAAAAGCACATATGCAAAAACTACAAAAATATTGCCAATCCGCACGGAACTGCAACTAATCCAGAGTGCACAATAACGAAATAAATTGATCATCCGCATATTACACAACCTTCCGCTGCTGTTCCTCTGCTCTGCGTGACGCGACAAATTACGAGGCTTCTGTTCCCAGGAATAAACTGCTTTTAGTTAATTACCGCCTGACATTCTCATCCCATGCAGATGGCGACGATATTATGATAACAGGACGCGCATCATTTTTATTACGTTTGACTATAGCCTGCAGTTACCTCCTTTTAATTAATAGTTTGCAAGTAATCCGACACGAACTAGTAAAATTATGCAAAACTTGGGAATATTCAACAATTCGCTGGTTGCGAGTAAATGATGAGCTTCCACGGAATTGGGATGTGTGAGAGAGAGCAAATATCGATGTGCGAAATTAATTAGGGAATTTACATGTGTCCCACATTCCGTGGTGACAAAACCCAGTGACGCCTTGGTCGAAATTGGGGCAAATTGTATGTCAGGGAAATATACTCGTAGAAAACTTACGTCCACTATCACGTGAGACAAGGGAAACGACTTCTTAGGTGGACTCTCCTTTTGCGTATACCTTAAATTGGAATCCAACACGTTTGTGTACTTTCTCCTCCCATGAAATTATCGAAATGCTTAGATTGCGTACTCACCTGAATATTTCTCGGTTCCCTTTGTACCTGCGTAAAATAACAAAGTGTGTAAAAGCAATGGAAATATTTCCGAGGTAGGAATTAGTCTTAAATTTCCCAACTCTGTTTTTCCACCTTCATTATTCTTGATCAATTATTCCAACTATTTAGTAGAATGTAGTGTACATAGGACGGAGAATACTATGATTGAGCAACCATTCTTAAAACCCTGTCTTCCTTTCAACTATTATTTTATAAGCAAAAATGCAGCAGTTGGAGATGTGTGTACGTATATAATTTGCTCCAATATGTGAGAACGATGTAGTCACCGAGACTCGGAGGATGAACTTTGTGAAGCAGTTCTAAGTAGCAGTTGCACATAGTTTTGTCTGATCTCCACTTCACATAACCTCGGGCATGTTGTTCTTCCATATACGTAATAAGTTGGAGAGGCAGCAGGAGCGGATGATACACATGAAGACTCTTTTTTCCTCCTCAAGCAAATCAAAATACTAACAACCACGCTCGACCTTTGCAACTGACAGACTTTCAGTTTTTCCTATTCTCTAGCGATCAGGAGGAGCGATACTGCCACCACAAACCCAACTGAATACACACACTCACGAAAAACTGCACTTTGCATAAAATTTTTAGAAACCATTTAGAAAAAGTTGGTCACATTAAAATTGTGGATCACGCTGTGACCTAAACTTGCTCGAGATCTCCTACTGTTCTCCCGTTTGTCAAGCTGTTATCTCCCATCTGAAGTTGGGCTGTCTCTTTTCCGTGGCTGGCATGACATTAGAGTAGTGTCACTTCCCAACTCGAACCAATCTTCAATCTGCTCAGATAAAGCGGTTTTCGGAGTCTCCCTCCTCCGAAAACGCGGAGGAGGAAGGAAACAGAATTTCAAAAGTCGCAGCCCAAAAAGCCAACTTCCTTCAAAACGGGATGCACAGAAACACCACCGCAAGAAACAATTGCGCCATGTACATCCACACATACATACGTGGCACTCACTTTCTTTCCCTTCCTCCAACTTTCTCTCTCTCTCTGTTACGTACTCAGTCGCACAAAAAAAGTTCCAAACTTTCTCTCGGTAAACATTTCGTTAATGCTTAAAATTCAAAAGTTTTTCGGACCAGCAGCTGTAGAATTAATAAGTGGGTTACTACATACTCTGTCACTCAATTTCAGGGCGACCATGTACACACAAACAAACTGAAATCTCCGTCCGTATGCGTACCAAATGTCTTTTACTGCTTTATGAAAGAAAAGTATAAAAAGTTTGAGTCAAGCCAAATATTAGAATCAAAAAGCAAGATGTGTGCACATGTTTTGGTTTATTTATTTATTTATTTGTTTATTAAGGGGAGGAAGAAACGGATGAATATTGGCGTGTTTTTGTGAGACATAAGCCGTGCAGTCAATAAACAATGGTTGGGAACACGGAGGCGGAATATCAACGAGGTAGGTGGCCCAGTTGCAGCCAGGCAAAGGGTGAAATATAAGCTGTGCCGATGATAGTTGAGGCAATTTCCTTCGTTCAGTGCCCTGATTTCTCCGTTGGAACCCTTTTCCTACGAGTGTTCATAATAAATGCACAGCACGGTCTGGACAGCCAATGGTTTGTCGGAGTGGGTGAGACAAGACAAAATACAAAAACAATTTCGTCTTCCTACCGTCTCTCCGACCTGTCAACGCTCAGAGACTGTCGAAAGGCCAAGATTTGCACACAAAATCAGCAACATAATAAATGTCAACCTGCGAAGGAAGAATGATGAGTCAACGTGCGATAAGAAAGTAGACTTATTTTTGACTTCTTTTAACACGGATTGACTTCAAGTGAAATTGTAGTACAAGAAAACGTTTATTCTTGTATGTAGGTGACTATTAAAATTAATTACATAATCCGCTTGAAAAATGGATAACATAATTTTTCCTGGCAATAAACACTAATCTGTTCAGATGAGACTAAATTAGACACATGCTTTTTATGGATTATTTGTGCACCTAGTTTAGAAATAAGCACACTTAAAAATTTGGTAGGGACATATCTTCTCCGTACTAGTATTGATTTGGTAATAACTTCCTACCGAACTAGTAGTAGTTTGTTTCTGAGTGGTAAGTTTCTCATTACCACAGCGAGTCATGCACTCTGCTCGGCAATGATTTGATACCAGTTTTCTAAGAGTGTAAGTATCAATCAATCCATATCCCAAAAAAGACATGCAATGAATGATGTTGCCGTTTGCGCCAAAAGAAAGTTTCTCATTATTTTAGTTCGAGTGCCGTTGCTGTTCGATGTTGGTCGTCTGACAGGTAGTGTGGTTGGTGGCACTCGGTGTTTTTAATTTCCGACGAGATGCTCATTATTCTCGGAGCATCATCACTTGTACATCCGAGCCGCCTCGTTCGTATGTAGTGACAGGTATTGTCGTTTGCTCTTCTCTGCTAAAATAAATATTTGTCCTCCTTGTCTCCACTGCCGCCCAAGTTTTTCAGTTTTACTTTTTTTCCTATACGTGTCTGCAGTACTAAAATGTTTAAATTATTTTCAGACCCAGAAAGTATGTCACAACAGTTGAAAAGAAAAGGACAAAGAAGTGTATACCACTCATCTTATTCTCTCTGAAGGAGTGACGCACGCACCGTGCTGGACGTCGTAAACTGGGCAAAGCGAATTTTTTGAGCCGGTGAAAGTACGTGGACGCAGACTGCAGATATTTTGCAATCATCTCACAGAGTAAATAAAAAACAAAGCAGATGCTCCGACGGAATTAAAAGATTCATTGATTTAATGTTGAATGTGGACGGAGTGTGCTCTTCCAAAACTTTCTCCGCTCTTAATTCTTGCGAAATATATATTCCCACACCTTCCAACCAACCAAAACTTTTTCAGACTTATTTATTTATACACGAACGGGACGACGCAACGCATCGGAGGATAGCGATACGTTTTAGGCGGGAAGGACATGTTTCGGATTTTTATTTCTGTCGTGACAATGACAATGGTGACAAGGAGGAAAAACTGTTGTTGAGATGGAAGACAAATAAGATGTGTCGAGTGACGGGGGAGTTCTTAAAGGATAATAAAAAATATAAGGTTGTAGGGTAAATGGTGTAACTTGAAAGAATGACAATAGCTTCACACGTGTGTAGTGTCACGCTGTTTATTGGCAAGTTGTAATTGACTGCATGGGTTCAAGAAGTAAGGGCAGCTTTGGCTCCAAAGTATTTATTTTTAGCTTTTATTAGGAGGCAAATATGTAAGAAATATCTCACTCACCACTTCACTTGGTAAATTGAAGAGTTTTGATCCACCTTAAACCGACAATCTGTAAGAAGAAATTTTGTAATTACTGATTTTGACTATTAACCCAAAACAAGAAGCATGAATTTGATGTCTTGCTTTCATGATACACGCTCTATTTTTGTTGAACTTACTCATCGTCAAGTCGTCCCCCTCCGCGATTGGTGTTGGAAAGTAGAGGTCCACATTCTGAGGTTGGACGCTGCTCAATCCGAGCGACTCTGCGAAATTATATAAGAAATGTAAATCAGGTTTCGTCTCCACCTCAACTTTTAGCGCGATATTTAGTCAAGTAGCAAATGCTTTCACTTTTATACTTCTCCCTTCCATTAGTTGGCATTAGATGATGATGCACCAGGGAAAAGGAGAACATTAGATGAACATGAGTCCTGATTTGAAGAAAGATATCGCACCCAAGACAAATTATTACAACATTTAGTTGTGAAAAGTGTCTCGTGCGAAGGCATTACCATCAACAACAACACGGATCCCATTTCACCAGAGCGTCCTCCTCTTATCAACGCCATTCTTCTTCCTCACGCTCCCCTGTGTGTGCAGCCAACAAGACTGCTGCAATTTGAGACGATGAGAGAAAGTAAGTCGTGGGCACAACACAAAATGCTGTGATGATGCCCTTCACTGATTTTTTTAGCCATCCCAGTTGCTATTTTAATCGTACCAGAATCAGGGTTTCTTACCTCTTTACGAGAAAAGTAGGATTTCCCTACAAATTTTATGTCAATGCTTTCCCCTACAAAAGTCTGATTTGTCCATGAATTTCACTTTCCAATACAAAAGTTTTGAAAATATTTACGAAAACTGTATAAAAAGCAAAGCGTTTGTGAATATTATTATCATTTTTGGAGCAATTAGAGGAAACCCTGGCCTTGTTGAAAAATGCGTACATTTTATCGACGCTATGAATTGCTGGTTGCTTCCGCTCCGCCGTATCCTTCATCTAGATATGGAAATGTAGAGGGTAATAAAAATGCTTTGTGTAAGTAGCCTGGCTGACGCTGGCTGGGTGCATTGGCCAAGAAAATACGTACAACAAGAAGAAAAATGTCTTCATTACGGTGCACATCTGCGCATTAGTTTGCATACATTTTATGACTCATTTTTTACCCTCCTCTCTGCTGCAACGCGTTACATTGAGGAGAAAACAAAGCGAAAAACATCACCCACTCTTGCATTAATCTCTTATACAAGTTGTCATCCATTGTGTTAATAGAGACTCGAGTTAGTTAAGAGTGCGCAAATTATTCTCTCCACAAGGACTCGTAGTGATGTAACTAACCGACTCGTGAGGAGTTGTGGTCCGTAGGTACATAGCAGAGATTTAAGCCGAGATTTCTGTCATTTCTCCGCCAGAAATAAATGGGGAAAGTCTCCCCTTAAATTACAGCAAATAGTGGAGCAGGCCGTACCTGCTTAAATATTGAAGCGTGAGTCAATTGAAAGGAGGCCCAACTGAGTCCTTGCAACATCAGTCTTTCTACCTTTTCCGGTCTTTTCTTCTCTCTCTTTTCACCAACCGAGACACGAATAAATCCAGATCGGATTCCAACCTACTGCAGTAGCGTTTCCGAGCAGAACCAGTTTCATCAGTGGTCCTCGTCCTGCTGGGGAACGAAGAAGACTCGCGTTTCTATCATGTTCTCAACCACATTCTAAATTTGTGCTCAAGCGTTTCTTTGCTTTTCTTTGTGAAAGTCGACTGTTGAGGAGCGGGCTAGTTGGAGACGGCGAAAAGGAGCGAGCTATACATAGCCCTGCGTCCTGGTGGGTGATGAAATGAAGGATTGTGAAGCATATCGAAGGCTTTAAATGAATCATCCAGTGTGAAATCCAGTTCAGTACGGCGTGTAATTTAGTACAATGATGCAACTTAAACCGCAACATTGCTACGGTGGAGAAAGCGACGAGGAGGAGGGAGACATTCTGAGGGACGTGTGTGCGTTGAGAGGACCAACAGTTAGTTGACAGAGGAAAATGTACTTGGTCGTCGTCAGCCCAAAAACTCGAGAGCTAGCTTGGATACGGGGCTCTGCGGACGAGGAGATGAGATCGAGACGCGACATCGTGGAGTGGAATATTTACCTTGGGCAAATACCTGAATTTTCACTATTTTCAGATTCCGTCGGTGAACAAAGCACTCCGTCGACCACAAATATGTGAGTTGTTCATTTGTTGTATTGAAACTTCAAACTTTAATAATAAACCTAAACGATAAATGCATATTGATTTATTTCTGCGTGTGATTGTTGGTTGTTCCAGGATGTAGAGGAATATGTTTACAGAATGATGAATGGAAAACTAATTTCAAGCCATAGCATTTTCCATTGTTTTTGCACATGTTTCACGATGTTCTCCTTATACGGGCAACTAATTAAAAGTACAAAAAACTACGTATATACCTATAAATTCGCGAAAAATTAAATGGATAATGACAAACACACAATGCAAGAAAAAAACTGGCACCACTTTTCGCATATGGTTTTCACTTGTATTTTGTGTAATCAAAAACGAGCGTCTAACCAGATTTAGCCCATCTGCTATCAAAATAAGAGTTGTTGGGATACAAGGAACGCGAATTATGTGTAAACCACCACATCCACCCATTCTGTAACGAAGAGAGAGAGAGGACAAATCTTTTGTGTGCGAGCAGATTGCATAAATAATTGCAACTTGGTGGTTGGACAGAGTAATTGATGAAGTTCTAGACTCTATTCAACCCTCGAATAACCCGAAAGCCGGATTTTGGATAAGTGTGCACAGCTCAGAAAGAAAATCTTATTCTCCTCAACCATACGTACGCAGAGAGCCATCAGTGATGATGATTTAGGAGACAAAAATCCCACTTCATTCGACGTGCTCCTATAGGCTCACATGCTTCTGGAATTTGGGCCTAGTTGGTCTCAAACGCTGTCTCGAGCCTCCTCAGCCAGATTACAAATTGCACCATCCACACTTCATCCGCTTTGCATTCTTCCACACTCGATAATATGCTCCATGATGGGATTGACTCGGCTTTTTCAGACTTTCCAACCATTCTTATTTCAATATCCAATCCTGCTCTCACAAACAGCCTGCTTTCTCTTCGACGACACGTGTTTGTTGTCGACAGAAATCTGTTCACAATGTCCCCACACTTGCTCCACGCCGGGCATAATGAAAACTGTGTGTCAGTCAACCAAGCGAGTTACACCCACCTCGATGACGACGACCAGAGGGACGAGGACGACAGAGGGAAAGTGAGACTGTGCATGATGACGAGTGCGGTGGTGGTGGTGCCCATTATACTTTGATCCGCAGGATTATGCGAATTTCTCTCGCAATTTTGAACATGTATCGCATTAACAAGCAGTAAATGGTGAATGTAGTATTGGTGGGACATTTGGAGGGTTGTGAAGCAGCTTTCTCCTCAGTTTCAACGACCCATTGTAATAGATGAACCGCATCATATTCATATCATTTAGATGATGGTTGGGTTGGGTGACAAAGCTGGAAATGGTGAGATGGAGATAGCAACCAGAGAGAGAAACAAGGAACCGCAGGAAGAGTGGCACTTTGAAATAAGCGAGCGGTGTCCGTCGTCCTTTGATACTCATATTTGCGGAGAGATAGATGCGATTCAGAAGGATATTAAGTTTTATGCCACCCAGTTGATGGAGGGATTAGAAGGGATTCGAAACAGATGATCTCGACCGCTCCTCTTCCTCCCGATCCTCATCGCCCCTTATCGTTTTCCACCACACACACACAAACACTCGCAATAGAATTCATGCCTCCGCTCAAAACGGGGTGGGAAATGGGTAAACTATTTTGCAAAGCGGTTTATACTCTTTGATTATGCACATTTGTGATGTTTGCACGTGTTGCATTTACGAGCTCGTATTGAGGATCATTTAATGGACTAGCGAGGAAATATGTACCATAATTTTGTATTGAGTCCTGAACAGTTTGATGAGGTGGTGGCATTTCAAGTCTGCTGGGGTTCAGGTTAATAAGGATCCGCTTGTTGTATCATGCAAAAAAGGTGTGTTACTGGTATGGTACATACGTACATGACCTGCTCATTTACCTAAATAAGTATTACTTAGCAGATTGCAGTTAGTCTATTTTGGTGATTTTGTTGGTCATGTTTATCCCAGGACAATAACGGCCTATATTAAAACGTCATTACGGATCAATTGATAAACTGATAATTTCCTGGAGCCTCATTTCTGCTTCATACGCAGGGGTGGATGCATACAATCTGTCCGCGTTGCAAATGAGCTTCCGATCCTCCGAAGAGAAAGAAAGGCTAATGGTGATACGATAAGTTGGGCACGATAAGTGCATTAGTGCCCACTAACTCACCACGACCATTGTACATGTGAGTGTACACACGTTACAAATTGCACGAGTCCCCATCATCCCCTCGTAATGGGGTCGTATCCCGAAAGAAGTGATGAGAAGGATTTACGGCTGCAAGAGCTATCATAATGGATAAGTGGATGAACAGTCTTCTCCATCCCCTCGGAAAACGATCAGAAATATACGCATAAAACCCATGCTATCTGCACATGCTTAAGCCACCCAGTTGCATCGAGGGTGCGGACTTACTTATTATACGTTTCGCAAGGAAATTTCCAGTTGAAACTTTATCATTGCCGCTAATAACTATGTATGTAACCCACTAAATACGTAACTATTTACTGCGAGTGGGGAAATGCTGGCAAAAGTTTGGTCTCCAAGAAAGTAAGAAGTGAGTGAGTGAGTGAACATTATTAGAATTATTTTCCTTGCGGGAGGAACACATGACTTGGCTGGCGGACCAACTTGCTTATTGTGGAGGAGGAGGAGGAGAAAGTTGGATCAGGTTAAAAGGGTCAAGAACGACGATTTTTTCCCACTCATCCACAACAAATTTTCTCCCTTTCTCTCTCTTCATCAGTTTGTATCATAAATATGAGCCCATTCTCGGAGTTTCCATCTTATTTTATTATTTCGGGAGGATACTTGACATTGAGGAGACGAGGACAAGAGAGGAGATGATGAAATGGCACATAAGCTGAGAGTCTCTCTCAGATGAGAAGGCAGGAAGTGGTTGGACGTTGGCTCGTAAGACGCCAAGTGGACGGATTTCGTTACGAACATGTGAGGAAGCCCTGCCTGAGTGTATATCGTCTCATTCCCCACGTCCATTCTCATCCACGGCTCATCCATAAAGTATGATCGGCAGCTCTTCCTCTCTCACTCCACATCCTCCGTCCGAAAATGGAACGTCCCTCTCTAGCCGTGGAAAAACTTTCTCTCCAACAACACGTGGTGTACGGTGGTCCCCTCAGTGAAAGTGGTATTGAGATGAGTTTTTCGGTTTTGGCTGCCTTTCATAGTTGATAGCCGGAGAAGATTGTGGACTTAGAGAGCGAGAGGAAGACATAGAGATGAATGAGTGAATGAACAAGTTTAGTTTACTCTCTCACTCACTTGCTGGGTGAGTACATTTGGGCTGGGATGACTATATAGACTCGACTCATTTTCATACTTGCAATTTCGATCCCATCCCAACGAGGAGAAGAGAAAGAGAGATCGAGAGCGGACTCATAAACGGGACGATTACTGAGGAGTGACAATAACGATTTTGTGGGAAGAAATTTCAAGAAATGACCCAGCCAGCTCCTCGCCCACATCATTGTCACGCAGCAAACAAGGAGAAAAACTTACGGAGGAGGATTGAAGCAAATCACCATCAAGATCGGAGCGAGAAAGATTGTCACACCTTCCAATATTCCCTCGCTCGAGGAGGAGGGAGCCAGTTCAATGAATGGTTCTAATAAAGCCATCCCACAAAATTAACTGCATCAGGGTGAACTACATTCCAAATTTTGAATAAAAGTTGCATCCTCTCATTGCTTCTGGCAACAAACTATTTTCGCAGAAATGTAGTTTGCAACTTTTACCTACGGGTATGACTCGAACCTTCTGTTGTTTGATGAATGCAATAGTTTTGTACCTCCACCTGCTTTCTCTTCGCCACCTTCTGCCCTGTTGCTGAGAGTGAGCGAGAGAAAGTGGGTGTAAAGTATGACATCAATTTCGTCTCTGGCTATTTCAAGTCAACAAGGAAATAGGAATTCTGTCTCAGTTCATCCGAGCCGAGCTGGTACTTATTGTCACTTGGCAATCAGATATCAGCGACTCAGTCACTTTCTTCTTCTTCGACTTTGCAGCTTATCTCCTCTCGCTCGCTCGTCGTGGTGAGATGCATATGCGGAGTAGATACATGCCATTCCTCCTCCTGCTGCGGGACCAACACTTCTCTGTAAAATGATCATTTCCGGCAATTGACAATCGCAATCTCCTCTCTTTTGAGGAAAAAGTGTGTTTCTTTGTTATTCTCGCTTTTCCTCAATGTCTCGCTGCTTACACGCAATATTCCGGTCGAGCATTGAGCGACTCACAGTGTGTGTGCAGAGCTTGTGATGTGCTTGCATTTTGCGTGTAGTTTTATTTACATTTTCCTTGTATACATGTTCTAGAAAGTCAACTTGACTTTACGCAGTTTTATTACTTTTCACTCTTTGTTGGTCTATGAAATATCGCTCCTATCTGCGGTGATGTATGGGAAAAGGAGATGAGATTATTTGCATGCACTTCGCTTGTCTCCAGCCATTGTATTCACACATAGCCCCAAATTCACACACAACGGCAGGAACAGACCAAAAGCCACATTTTTTATCAACATAAAATTTTGAAATTGAAAATTTACCTGAAACCACGACTGCAATCCACAGCGCGAGATGAACGTAAGTCAACTTTGAGACTAAATGATCCATTGTGCTCACGTTTTTCTTCAAACTTCTTCAAATTAGCTGCACTTTTCCATTTGCAATTAAAGTCCAAACCTACATTTCCACCGAATCACTACAAAATCCACTTGTCTCATTTTTTTAGCGTCGACGTCTCTGAATTAAACCCACGCGAATCACCTAACAAATTCCACAATAGATTGTACGAAAAGTTATATTTAGATATCACTAAAACACCGTTTTTAAGTGGCCACAATTTTTCAAGGACGAGTGGGAACAAAGAATTGAGGTCACGAGAAGAAATCGAGAAGTAGTTGGTGGAGGAGAATTGTCACCGGAGACAAATCGTCTCTCGACTGGTTCAAGTCGTGGTGGAAGTTGGGACAGGAAGTGGAGAGCTTACGAGGAAAGCCTCAAAGTGGTAAATTGACATGAGAAGAGTTTCTCTGATTGTTGGTTGATGGTTGATAAATCCAGACTCATATTTGAACATTTGACATGATGTCAAACAGCCAAAGTGTGTGTGCAGCTTGCTCACCACACCGCCAGCCAGTCTTCACGTCCGACCACTAAAATGTGAGGAGACCTGGGAGAGAACCTGCGGAAGGAGTGAAAATTGAGTGAAAATATGACAAGTTAGAGACAAAAGGCTCAAGTTTAGGGGAAATTCAGTCTCTCTCAAGTAGATTTGGTGCAATACATTTCTACAGTTGGCAGTAAAAGAAAATGTTAAAAATGAAGTGAGCGCACACAGAGTCGAAATCTCAACAGTCGTGAAGCCTGAGACTCTGCGAGTGTAATGTTAAACGTAAAACTTGTCGTAAAATGAGAAAAGGAGATGTTCGCCAGTGCAAGTAAAGGAATCTGGAATGAGTGTTATGTCGTCGTCGCCATCGCCGTCGTCGTCGTCATTGTCGAGGGTTTTACATTTACAACCGATGAGAAAAAGAAAAGTAAAACTAACTCTGATTTTCAGTTGTACTCATGCTCGCATCAGCTCAACAGTCAACACTGCTCGTCTACGAGTGAGAAGTCGGTGCTGAGATTTTTAGTAGGAATTGAATTAGATGAGATGCGATTTAAACTTTGCAGATTGAGAGTTTGCTCTCTGCATCCAAATTCCTCGGTGGTGCGCCTACTAAATTCTCCTCAACTTGAGCCAACACGCTATGCAATGCCGTCTCAAATGAGACTTATGCTGCGGTCAGAGATGTGGCGAGTGTGTGGGCCCGTCACCAGGTTAAGGTGACAGGTCGGATCAAATATCTCCCCCTGAACGGAGATGACACCAAAAATCACAACCAACCACACGCGGTGAAAGTTCAAGGCGTATGTGAAACACTAAACTGACCTGTTTTCCCCTCGTCCGCGACCACTTTCTGGATATTTGCGACGTTTGGTGTGGAGCAAGTTAACGGGGGCCGAGTGACTTGCCTGGTTGTGAACGTAATCCTGGGAATTAAATGGATGAGCTTTCACTTACTTGGAGAAAGTGGACCAGAAAAGAGGAGGTCGAGGAGAGTAACTGGTATTTATGTGTTTGGGCGAGAGAGCCAAGTTAGCCGTGGAGGTGTCTCGGAGGATCCACTCTGACGAAATGTGGCCACACCAGCCCGGTACGAAGGGAAAACAGCCAGCTTTCCCATTTAGCCCCGCGCATGCTGCCGTTCACTTTCCCCACTTTGAGACCCTACCAGAGACGAGGCTGGAGAAGAGTTGGGGTTGTGCTAGACCTCCGCGTCCCTCGCTTCCTTCGTGGTAACGAGGAACATGATGATGAGCGAGTGAAATGCAGCACAAATAAATAAAGCTCCCTCTTTTTCAGTTACTACATATCTAAATGTGCATGGACAGTTTGCTTAATCTCATCGATATCGGCTGCGAGAACAATAAAATAATAGACAGAATGTGTATCAATAAGTAATATTTCTGAGTCAATATCAATGATAATCTTGGCTGCAAGTATATAATCATCCACTTTTCGAGCTGGCTGTCATGTTTTGTTGGAGATGTATCCCGATCTGATACCAGAGATGGGATGATGAAGTTGTAGCCACTTAATTCCACACGGTGCTGCTGCTGTGTGTTGATGATCCGAAGTTGCTTCTCTGACTCATCCGACACCCGGAAACATAAAGATTAAACTTGACTTCTTTTTCCTGGCGGAGATGGAAATCGAGATGAGGGAGCGAGCCCAAGTTTTGCGGAGCGGGCGAGTGAAACAAAGAGAGAAAGTGTTGCAAACGAAATAAAGATATCAAAATGAACCACTTCCGCCACTTAGCGATCTTCAGTGCTCGCCGAGACGATGAGAGATGACGAAGCGGGGTGTAAAATGAGCAGTTTGTAAATGAAATGAAATGCGATCCATCTGTGCCAAGTCAAAGGAACGGTGCCATCACCTTTGCATCACGTCACAATGAAAACAAGCTGGCTCGACTTAAATCTCCAAAACTTTTTAGAGTTGAGGGTTAAGCGAAAGTGAGAAAGCAACTCGTCTTCGTTCTGGCAGCAGCAGTGCGAAGGAGGAAAAAGTGTGTGACTAGCGGGACTCAGTCACTCACTCACGGAAGGAAATGTAGTGAGATTATTCTGGCAAAGGAGAAGGGCCCGAAGGTGCTGCTGCTGCTGGTGTATCTTTTTATTGTTGGAGGAGAGGTAATCCTTGATTCTGCAACAAACATGGAGTGAGGAGGAGAAAGTCGTGGAGAAATTCTGGCGGATGTCGGAACACGATTTGATAATAGGGACTAATAGAAGAGATCTCCTTCCAAAAGTTAACAAAGGGAGGAGGAGAAGAAATTCGCTGCTGTTCAATCTGGACGCCGTGCTCGCGTCGACGAGGACGACTACTGTTTACCCAAATAATTAAATCGGAGTGGAAGAGAAGAAGTAACTAAGTGAAGCAAATGGCAATACCTCCTCCAGCCAACAGACCCATTTCCCCCCTTCCTTTCATTAAGCGAATTTCCAGGATATTCAATCCTCCTGGAGAGGATGCTCTGTTGGTTCAGTTAGCGAAAAAAAACAGGTAGCAGCGGAGAAAGTGGAGTACGCGTAATATTGAGGAAGCAGAAAAACTCATTGCGTTACAAATCCTGCACATTCTTTTCCTTCTAATTAAATTCACGAGGGATACAATCCTTCATTTTCTGTGTAATTGTATAAACAGATCAATAATGCCAAGACTTAATTCATATTTTAATTCGAAAAATTCAGCAAAAGGGAATTGAAACAATGATTTACTCGTTTATTAGTCTGATTTTACGTGATAAAAACCCACGTGCGTCTATGAATGGTGGTAAATAGAGAGTGTATGCAATTTAGTCGGAATATTTGTAGGCTTTGCGTTACTTTTTCGTTATTTTGAACTTGAGCAGACACAAAGTAAAAGTTGATAAAAGTGAACTTTTTCCTTGAGCAGAGACCGAGTGGCTGCTGCTGCTCCACGCGCTTATTCTTACTGCCTTACTTCGCCGTGTTGTTGTTTCACTAAAAATTCTTGTACGTTGAAGTTAAGGAAAGTTGGCTTTCTCTCATCAGCTCTTGAGTCGGAGGAATGTGATGCTTTTAAAACCTCTCCCCTCGGATCAGTCCATCAGAGAGCATCCATTAACCCAATTATAGGCAACCTTTTGATGTTTGTATCATCTTGTTCCGGAGAAAAACTCGAGAGGATCGCGCGATCCTCCGACACACACAATTGCTGATCACGTTGAACAGCTCCAAGTTTTACAAACAACTTGATGGGACTTGTGTAGTTACTGATGCTGATCTGGCTCCCGTCCTCATCCTCCACATACCCAGTTCGACACAAGTAGCTTTCTTTATACTTGTGTCGATACAAGCAGTGATTCAAAGTTTCAAAACAGATCAGTTTGGAGACGTTTGGGGCTTGAAAAAATTAATTTTTCAAAATCAAAAACACAGTGAATGTATAGTAGCGGAGTGATGAGAGTGACGAGAACGAGATGTGTGACCCCTCCGAAGTTTTGCTCATTATCTTGGGGCGTCTTATAAAGGCAATAAACTTGTGTAATTCCTCTTTTATTTGCAGAGGTGGTGGAAGCGGAGCCACAAACAAGGGCGGCGGGGGGATCGGATGCCCGTGTCGTCTCGGAGGAAACAGACCGAGTCCACTTTGCTTGCCTCCATCTCACAAAGCCGTCATAATCTCTTTGGTCCGACAACAGTAGATCAAAAAGATGATGGAGAGAGACCAAGAAGAGGTGAAACACAATCCAGGCACACACAGCAGTTCAGGATTGAGTGACATGCCATCAGATCGCTGGATCCTCCCGTATTAACGAACAATGCTGTAAATCAATCACTACATAAATACGCTCACCATTTACTAAAGAGCATCCACTAAGGTTTTTGACTGCCCCGTAAAAGGCGCGCTAGGCGGGAACACAGCGAAATTAAATTTCGAAAAAAATATTTTTGAATAGACCAAGTTATAAGCTTTCCATTGATATATGTCACCAATTATTGAGTCATGGCTAAGACTAGAAAAACTTCGGTTGAAAGGCAAGAGTTAGAAAAAAGAGTGATTGAGTTTCACAAAAATCGAACAAACTATGATTCTAAAATCACTTGGCACTTTTTCAAGCAAGAAGGTATTTTTCATTCAAATGTCAACTTTTACATAAAAAAGTACGAGGAATCCAATGAACTCAAATTCAAAGTCCCCACTGGTCGACCTGCAAAGCTAGCGACGACAAAAGTCACAAATCGGATAAAAAAAATCTTCAAAAATCATCCATCAACGACAACGGCTGGCACCGCAGGTAAGGTCGAGATTTCAAAAAGCTATCTGTGCATAATCAAAGTCCATAAACTAGGGATTATAGCCAGGGCAAAAAAACCAGCACCAAATTACAAACCAACACAACAGGAAAGGATTCATGCGTGCTGGAAGAAATTGTTGAAGAAGATTCGTGGAAAAGTTGTCATCATGGACGATGAGCCCCACGTCACAGCTGACACTTCAAATCTTCCAGGAAGGCATTTTTTCCATAGTTCCAACCCCTGTGAAGTAAAATATGAAGACAAAGTCCAAAAGAAAGACCAATTCACAAAAAAATGAAGAATTTGGCAACGCATGTCTAGCATTGGTCATGTTTCCGATCCCGTTATTTTGGAGGGCACTGTAAACCAGGGGGTTTATCTTAAATCATGCATTAAAGGGGGATTGGAATCTTTTATTACTAAACATCATAAAAAAATAAAGTTTTGTTTTGGCCTGACCTCGCAAGGTCCCATGACGCCAAAAAGGTCACTCAATACCGACATCTGAAAAAAATTGAATTTGTGCCAAAAAATGGAAACCCACCAAATTTTCCTCAACTGCGACCCAGGGTGTATAAACTTTTTTGTTGTCCGTGGTTTCTCCTAAGGGGGTGATGCAAGGATGAATTTTTTTTCGAAAAATTAAAAGTTCGGGAATTGCATGCGATTTTGCTTTGAATTTGGTGGTTTCCATGGCAAAATCGCATGCAATTCGGGAATGCGGCTTCAATCATGGGAGCTGTCCCCAGTCAACGAGGATTAGAAGAATTATTTTATATTTTAAATGATAGGTCGTTTTATTTACAAAAATCCTGTAAGGGGCCGAATGGTGATCTCGGACGCCTATCCGGATCAAGTAAAGGTTTTCCCAACCCACCAACATCGGGTTTTTCCTCTACTCCCCAAGCCAACTAAGTGTATTTCATAGTTTATCAATGTTGATGTTAATAAATAATATTTGTTGTGTAAATAAATTAATTGGATAATAAAATAGCATGCAATTCCCGAACTTTTAATTTTTCGAAAAAAAATTCATCCTTGCATCACCCTCTTAGGAGAAACCACGGACAACAAAAAAGTTTATGCACCCTGACTGCGACCCATTGAGAAATTCTGAGCGCTGACTAAGTCCAAATATTCTAAGCTTTCAGAAACGCTAGATACCTTACGAAAATTTAAGAACAGATGGAGGAAAATCAGCTTGAAAGTAGGTGCAGTCTATGGGCGTAATTTGACGCGAAATCGGAAGAAGAAAATGCAATTTGTAGCAGACAGCAGAAGTGAATCATTAAAATTTGAACTGTATGGCAATCCAGACCCTTTGGTAATAAACATATGCAATTTTTTTGAAATTACATTAACTGTGTAAAAAGTTCTGAGCATTTTATTGCGTCAGTCAAAAACCTTAGTGGATGGTCTTTAACTCGTTGATGGCCAATTATTTAAACCCTCCTTTTCTCCACGATGCCATTAATTGACCGGTACAAAAAACCCCATGTTTTTTTCGTCAGGTTGAAATGATAAGGTGAAAACTTTCCCAATGTCGTGTTACACAACCAAATTGATAAAAATGGATAAAGGATAAGCCCACACGGAAATCAGGACGCGTGATCACGCATAAAAATTCAACGTGCACGAGTGGGTGTCGTGTCGCAATATTGACGCCAGCTTCATATTCTGGATTGCTTAAGTTGTGTAGAAATAAGAGCAACCTTCACCCACGTCTTATTTAAGAAAGACAAACACCTGTCACACCAACTTTGAACTTTGCTCCGTGTTCGACTCGATTTATATTTTTAAAGAACACTTGTGGCAT